AAAAAAGTTATTAAATTCTAAATGAATATTTCAAAAGTCTTATCTATTAGCTTATATAAGCTTTTACCACTAAGTAATTTTTTATTGAATTGCCTGTAATATAATATAGCAATAGTTTTATAAACAGTTGTTATTTCTATCTTCCACAAAAAATTCAGTTCATGTTATAAGATTGCGTACGTCAAGTTGTTAAATAAACATCATTTAAAAACATCAGAATACATGTATAAAGGTAATAAAAATGAGCCACGTGCCTGCACGTATATTTCGTAAATTATAATAAATAATGTATTTGATGAAATATTTTATTTGTCGTAGTAAAGATAGGTCGAAAATATTTCACGCGTGCATTTATTTATATATGTTACGAAAAATACTCTTGCGATGTATTATAACTTTCTAAATAATTAGATTTCACAAAATATTTCACCAATTTGCATTCATAAAAAGTGACATTATGTTCCTTTTTTCATTGTCAAGTTGAGCCGATTTGGACTATGTATTTCAAAAGATAGACTGTTATAATGGTAGTTGACCAACAGTTGATGTCAGGCTAAAATATAAATCTGCCTTAAATATAAAAAGCCCTTCCCACTCTTTTTATGAACTGAATGCTATTTGTTTTTGGGTTTTACGTCACACCGACACAGTATAAGTCATTTGGCAACGTTCCAGCTTTACTGGTGGAGGAAGACCTCAGGTGCACTTCCATGCATTATTTCAGGCACGACCGGGCACCTGAGTAGAACCACCGACGTTCCGTAATCTAGCTGGATATCTTCCTCACATGTAAGAATCCAAAGTCCCTGTCGAGATTCGAACCCTCAGCGGTGAGGGGGCAAGTGGTTTGAAGTCAAACGACCTTAACCACTCGACCACGGGCCCTCTAACTGAACTTGAACTTTTTAGGAAAATTCCGAGACATTTCTTTGGACCCTACCCCTACTACCCCCTCAGCCTTTTGATGGGCGCATGAGATTCTTACTTTCCAATAGCATGTGTAGCATAACCAGCTTCTTGAGATGACTGGAAAGAAACGTCATGTTTAAAATGGTGAACAACACATCCTGCTCGTCCCATATCACCATATGCTGTAATAGAAACACCAGCATTACCATTAAAGGCACATTATGCAAAGAAATGCCAGAATTACCATTAAAAGGCACATTACGCCTTAGGTAATGAAAACAATATTTTCCTGTTGTAAAAATGGCAAATATGAGATGTATAACGTTTAGTTAATCGTTTAAGAGCATGTTAGAATGTCTATCACCTGAAGAAAGTAGAGATGAATTCGAATATAATATTTCTTCGTAAAAAGAAGTAAAATGTAAACCAAAAAGTATACAGTATTTTGACTTCCGTGCAAAATACTAATTCACAATAACTGTACCTTATTGCCAAAAAAAAAACAACAGATAAAAAGCATGCCATAGAGTTAGTTTTTTGAAAATATAACCAAAAACATTAAAAATAAAAAGCTTTTGGAAAATAAAAATAAAAACATTTTCTGAGGCAAATGGGCCTTTAATATCGCAAGAAGTACAATTTGTATCAGAAAATCGACTTAAAAAATCGGATTTCGGAAACTAAGCAAAAATGTTAAATCGTTACTTTTTAAACGGCATGATGAATTCATTCGTTACTGTAGATGTGTGAAGTTGGCGGCCCAGCGGCCTGGCGGCGTGAAAGTTGGCGCCGGGACCCGCCAACTTCCACACATCTCGTTACTGTCATATATATGTTCATTGGGAGAAAGAAAAATGGCAAACGCTCGAAATAATGAAAAGATATATATGAGACTTTTAAATGAATGATCTACTTTTTAAAAATGTATCATTCGGCGTCCTGTCTTGTCACGAAATATTCTTCTTAGAAGAAAGCGTTTTTTCTTCAAAGGTTATTATGACAAAGGATAATATGGAAGATATTGTACCTGCAAGCCAGCTTTAAATGGATAGTACCCAGTCATAAAGGCATGTCTTGATCTATCACAATGAAATGAAGAAACCTTTATATAACGGACGGACACATTTTATATATTGTATGCAAAAATCACTAAAGGGATAATAAATTATAAACCATTTCTATAAGCACATTGTATATTTGTTGTTTCTACTGGTTCACAATAGATTTCTATTAATCATGGGGAAAGAACTCATTCTACTGGAAATTTGAGAATATAAATAAAGAAACAGTAATAAAAAATGCCACCGTGTGACAAAATAAATAAGCATTTATTTAGTTTATTCAATATCAAATACAGAATTTATGTTAGTTCGATTGTGTTGGAAGCTATCAGTTCATTGAAACACGCCCAAATGCGTCCCTAGAACGAACAAGTACTAAGCGAATCGAAACAAAAATACGACAGTTGTGCATGTATCAGCTATACTCCACGGCGAGCAGACTGGTTGAACATACGAGTGGTTCAGAAGCACTCCCTGGTAGGCGAGTTTATCAATGTTAGGTGTGATCATAGATGGATTGTGGAACCCGACATCGTTCCATCCTGAAAATTTATAATTTGTCTGATGGTTAATTCATACCACCCCTTTGTTGTCTTTCTGATTATAACATAAATCAACCAAATTATAAATGGCCAACCTGTGATTCGGAAAAGGTAAAAAGGGTACTATGTTTTTTATCAGTTTAAGTTTCAGTTTCATTAGTATAATTTACGTCAGAAACACGTCAGACGGAAGATAGTATATTCCTTAGTCTATTCTGTTTAATATCTTTTTAATAATAAACTGAAAACTATGTTTAATATTTTTAATATTTTTTCAAAGCTCTGTACAATATTGTCCGCGTTAACAGCACTTTTCAAACTATACAAAATTGAATACAAAAGATTTACTCTAGTTCAATCGATCTACTATATATTGGAAGGAAAGGAAGACCTGTTTTAGCGATACAAAATGCAGAACGTTGAAAAGGAGGAAAACGTGAAAAGGGAAGAAGGAAGTATTGGACATTTTGTAAATTATTAAATAACATAATTTTCAAGCATATTAAAATTTCATCTTGATTTGTAAATAAGACAGCAATAATGTTTTACGGTAATTAAAACAAAAATACATACAATGAAATAATTCACGTCTACTTCTTTGCAATGCAAATAATCTATAAGTAAAATAACAAAATAATTCAAGGACAAATTTGTCGTTTCGTAAAATATTTTTGTTTTGTTCTCCTTGAAGAATTTCTCGTTAAATAATGACTTCATGTCATCCAAAACTAACGTGATGACATAACCACAAGAAAATAAACTAACGTGATAACATAACCACAAGAAAATAAACTAAACATACTCCATAAACTATCACCAAGATGCAAACGTCTTATTTACAAGTCGCGCGTCTTAAGTTTGTCAATAATATACAAATTTGACTCAAAGTGGTATTTGAAAACAAACCATAATATTATGTACATTATTACATTTATCCTGTATGGCTATAATGTTGTTATAACATTTAAGCAAATACGTTGTTGTTGTACAAAGTGTTATTTAAAATTATTATACGTATTGTAATAGATATTCACGTGTCACGATAATTAAATATTTACTTTACTTTGTTTTATTTTTACTTTACTCTACAATTTGCTTTACTGGCGGCAATAGGCTATACGTGTTTTACCTTTAGCCTGCTGGTGGCAATAGGCTATACGTGTTTTACCTTTAGCCTGCTGGCGGCAATAGGTTATACGTATTTTACCTTTAGCCTGCTGGCGGCAATAGCCTATACGTGTTTTACCTTTAGCCTGCTGGCGGCAATAGCCTATACGTGTTTTACCTTTAGCCTGCTGGCGGCTATAGCCTATACGTGTTTAACCTATAGCCTGCTGGTGGCAATAGGCTAAACGTGTTTTACCTTTAGCCTGCTGGCGGCAATAGGCTATACGTGTTTTACCTTTAGCCTGCTGGCGGCAATAGGCTATACGTGTTTTCTCTTTTGCCTGCAGGCGACTTTAGCCTATACATGTTTTACCTTTAGCCTGCTGGCGGCAATAGGCTATACGTGTTTTCTCTTTAGCCTGCTGGCGGCAATAGCCTATACGTGTTTTACCTTTAGTGTTTTTACCTTTGGCCTGCTGGCGGCTATAGGTTATACGTGTTTTTTACCTTTAGCCAGCTGGCGGCTATAGCCAATGCGTGTTTTACCTTAAGCCTGCTGGCGGCAATAGCCTATACGTGTTTTACCTTTAGCCTGCTGGCGGCAATAGCCTATAAGTGTTTTACCTTTAGCCTGCTGATGGCAATAGGCTAAACGTGTTTTACCTTTAGCCTGCTGGTGGCAATAGCCTATACGTGTTTTACCTTTAGCCTGCTGGTGGCAATAGCCTATAAGTGTTTTACCTTTTAGCCTGCTGGTGGCAATAGATTAAACGTGTTTTACCTTTAGCCTGCCTGGTGGCAATGTCCTATACGTGTTTTACCTTTAGCTGGCTGGCGGCAATAGGCTATACGTGGTTTTACCTTTAGCCTGCTGGTGGCAATAGCCTATACGTGTTTTACATTTAACCTGCTGACGTCAATAGGCTATACGTGTTTTACCTTTAGCCTGCTGACAGCAATAGCCTATACGTATTTTACCTTTAGCCTGCTGGTGGCAATAGCCTTTAAGTGTTTTACATTTAGCCTGCTGGTGGCAATAGCCTATACGTGTTTTACCTTTAACCTGCTGACGTCAATAGGCTATACGTGTTTTACCTTTAGCCTGCTGACGTCAATAGGCTATATGTGTTTTACCTTTAGCCTTCTGACGGCAATAGCCTATACGTATTTTACCTTTAGCCTGCTGGTGGCAATAGCCTTTAAGTGTTTTACATTTAGCCTGCTGGTGGCAATAGCCTATACGTGTTTTTACCTTTAACCTGCTGACGTCAATAGGCTATACGTGTTTACCTTTAGCCTGCTGACGGCAATAGCCTATACGTGTTTTACCTTTAGCCTGCTGGCGGCAAAAGCCTATAACTGTTTTACCTTTTAGCCTGCTGGTGGCAATAGCCAATAAGTGTTTTACCTTTAGCCTGCTGGTGGCAATAGCCTATACGTGTTTTAACCTTTAGCCTGCTGGCGGCAATGACCTATACGTGTTTTACCTTTAGCCTGCTGGCGGCAATAGCCTATACGTGTTTTACCTTTAACCTGCTGACGTCAATAGGCTATACGTGTTTTACCTTTAGCCTGCTGACGGCAATAGCCTATACGTGTTTTAAACCTTTAGCCTGCTGGCGGCAGTGACCTATACGTGTTTTACCTTTAGCCAGCTGGTGGCAATGGCCTATACGTGTTTTACCTTTAGCCTGCTGGCGGCAATAGCCTATACGTGTTTTACCTTTAGCCTGCTGGTGGCAATAGGCTAAACGTGTTTTACCTTTAGCCTGCTGGCGGCAATAGGCTATACGTGTTTTACCTTTAGCCTGCTGACGGCAATAGCCTATACGTGTTTTACCTTTAGCCTGCTGACGGTAATAGGCTAAACGTGTTTTACATTTAGCCTGCTGGCGGCAATATGCTATACAGAGACCAGGATTAGTCGGCACATTAGTGTCGTTCTGTCATGGTTTGCACTGTCCGTTATTCACTCAGTACATATTTTGATCATGGTGAATGGTTATATCAAGGGTAGATGGAAAAATCAATTTAAGACATTTATACTGGTAATAAAGCGACCTTTAAATAATAAATTAAAAGTAACACGTGTAAGATTTTCTATCTAAGTTTTAAACATTCTACCATATTTTTTGTAAAGGTTGACGTATTCTATTATAGAATCTGAATGAGTAACGGATGTAGAAAGGAGATCAACGACAATACTTAATGGCTCTAAGATAACGTATAATTAACATACTAGATAATTTTATTGAACAATAATCCCAGTGTGTGTACAACGTATACTTTATATCTTTATTTACATTTTCATAAATTATGACTTTTCTGAGCGTATATGACAAAAAGAAATCCTACTATAATAAACAGGTCCAGACATCTATATCTAGTGTGAAACTTGTTGATAACAACATATAACAATATAATGCATACCTAAATCATCCGCTACAATGAACACAATGTTAGGCCTTTTACCATCCGAGATACTGGTACATATTAACATATAAATCAAACTAACAGTAAACAATGTCAACATCGTGCACTTGTTAAAATGATATTACATTAACATATTTCTATAAAATATCACAAATGTGTCACTGGTATTAAATTCATATCAAGTAAATATTCCATTGTAAGCACTCTTTCAAATATTCATGAACGCTGATATTGATTAGACTCAATACTGGGACACCTTTACCTGCTATTAATAATTGAACTACAGTTTGTTTACGCTAAAACGACACAAGTTTTTTTTATGTAATATAGTGTCAAAATAAGCTTTGAAAAAAATATATAGCTTGTGAACAGCGAACACATTTTAAGATAGAGTCACATAAAAAACTTGTTTTGTTCGTGAAATTCATTCGTACAATTTAATGGACATTAAATTCATTTTCTACAAGTATTCATCTGACTTCGAACTTTCAATTAATGTAAAAATTAACGGCGAAAATTTTATCTGAATATAGTGCCAATGGCTAACATGTGGACAGTTGTTAACAAAATGTGATCGCATAGTCTAAAAGAAAGAGTATATTGATAATTAGATTTAAAAGTTAGTTCAATTTTTTATTAAGCGAAGTGCTTTATGTTTTCACGGTGTTAAAACCTTTTCAAGTTTAAGTATTGTTTCGAAAAATAAAATAATAATAATAATAAACATCTTTGTGTCTGAATATCAGTATTGTACACCCACAGGTTATATATCATTTCCTCTTCACACAAAGCAATTTTTCAAGTAATAGAAATAATGCACTTAAATGGTTTAAATAAATGTGCATCAAAGAAACTTTAAGTTAAACGAGTTAAGAACTTGAATCTTAATTATAATGTTCTGGTTAGTTATCTAAATATGAGCGTACTGAATGGAAAAGGTCAGATTCATCAAAATGTTTAAATTCTTGACTTTCTGAGAAAAAGAAGAGCTGTGTCCGTTACCATAAAAAATGTAACTGCATTTAGCCGGACAATGCGAATTATTTACAAATTGTCGGAGTTTTCCGTATAAATATTAATTGACGATATATGATTAATTTTTTTCTGCACAGTTTAGATATCCGATAAATCCATATTTCAATTTTGAGGAACTGCATTCTAAACTTAACAGTTTGTGAGGTTATAAAATCGATATTGCTATTTATAGCCTTTGAGAACAAGTACCCGTATATGTATTTTGTTCAATTTGTGTCGCTTTATACTTGACTGACAGTAAAACAGTCGATGGTTACAGAGTATTATATTACAAGTATTTATTTAGATCGGTTAGCTTTGTGTGTATGTGTATTTTTTAGTTCGTTTAGTTTTTAATGCTCTTATTTGAGTGATAATGCAAAATGCAAAGTGTAATAACAATAAGTTTGATATTTCTGATCACCAGTGTTCATAACTTGGAAGGAAAGAGACCGAACATTGTGTTTATAGTGGCTGATGACCTGGGTATGTTTATATGTTGTATGTTATATATAACTTGATTTTTATGCTCCCCGAAAAATTTCGGGGGAGCATATAGTCGGCGCCTTGTCCGTCTGTCCGTCTGTCCGTCCGTCCGTCTGTCCGTCCGTCCGTCTGTCCGTCTGTCCGTCCGTTGTCTTGTCCGGAGCATAACTTGAAAACCCTTGGAGATAATTTGTTGAAACTTCATACAGTGGTAGAGGGCATCGAGGGGGAGTGCAGTGTCAAAGAACCATAACTCTATTTTGCCCGGTTTTTGAATTATCTCCCCTTATAGAAAAATCTTGTCCGGGGCATAACCCTAAAACTATAAGAGATATCAACATGAAACTTTGTAGGTGAATAGATCTCAATGGGCAGATGTGCAGTGCATAAGAACAATAACTCTTTTTGTCCTAATTTTGGAGTTATTGCCCTTTGTTAATTTTAATACTTTGAACTTTGTCCGGAACATAACTTGAAAACCCTTGGAGATAATTTGTTGAAACTTCATACAGTGGTAGAGGGCATCGAGGGGGAGTGCAGTGTCAAAGAACCATAACTCTACTTTGCCCAGTTTTTGAATTATGTCCCCTTATAGAAAAATCTTGTCCGGGGCATAACTCTAAAACTATAAGAGATATCAACATGAATTTTTGTAGGTGAATAGATCTCAATGTGTTGATGTGCAGTGCATAAGAACAATAACTCTTTTTATCCTAATTTTGGAGTTATTGCCCTTTGTTTATTTTAATACTTTGAACTTTGTCCGGAACATAACTTGAAAACCCTTGGAGATAATTTGTTGAAACTTCATACAGTGGTAGAGGGCATCGAGGGGGAGTGCAGTGTCAAAGAACCATAACTCTATTTTGCCCGATATTTGAATTATCTCCCATTGTACAAAAATCTTGTCCGGGGCATAACTCTAAAACTATAAGAGATATCAACATGAAACTTTGTAGGTGAATAGATCTCAATGGATAGATGTGCAGTGCAAAAGAACAATAACTCTGTTAAGCCTTATTTTTGAATAATCTCCCCTTTTAGAAAAATCTTGTCCAGGACATAGCTGTAAAACTATAAGAGATATCAACATGAAAACTTTGTAGGTAGATAAATCTCAATGGGTAGATGTGCAGTGCACAAGAATCATAACTCTACCTTGCCTAATTCTGGAGTAATTGCCCTTTGTTTATTTTTACTTTTTGAATTGTCCAGGACATAACTCGGAAATCATAAGAGATATCATCAAGAAACTTTGTAAGTTGATTGATCACATTGATTATAAGTGCAGTGCAAAAAACTGTTACAGCCTTGCCTAATTTTGGAATTATTGCACTTTGAACTTTTTCCACGGACATAACTCTGAAACTACAAGAGGTGTACTTTCCTGTGTCCAAAACCTGTTCGGGGAGCATCACCCGGCTCAAACCGGGCTCTTGTTATTCTAGTTGTACTTCCTATTTGTGTATATGTATGGTTTAACCTTCAACATTCTCAAAAGACTGATCTTGCCAATGGAAATAATCAAGAAAAGAACACAAACACTAAAATGGAATAAATGAATATATTGTAATTTAGAATTACTGTAAAATCTACGGTGTCCTTATCGTGCCATTTAGAATGTCGTCCGTCGCGTCTAAGGGTAGACACACGACAATGCGAAGTGACATCGCGACAATGCGAAGCGACGCTCGACAACGCGAAGCGATATGCGACAATGCGAAGCGACGCTCGACAGTGTCAAACGATATGTCGCACTGTCGCCTAGAAATGTCGCGGTAAAAAAGGGCGACATTTAAGAAATGTCGCTTCGCGTTGTCGAGTGTCGCTTCGCATTGTCGAGCGTCGCTTCGCGTTGTCGCGATGTCACTTCGCGTTGTCGCGATGTCACTTCGCGTTGTCGCATTGTCACTTCGCATTGTCGAGTGTCGAGGTTGGTAGAAGTGCATACCACGACACACGACAATGCCAAACGACAACGCGACAATGCGATACGACGCTCGACAATGCGAAGTGACACTCGACATCGCGAAGCGACATTTTTAAAATGTCGAGTAAATGTCGCGTTATTTTTATGATTTTTACACCGCGACGCTCAACATTGCGAAGCGACACTCGACAATGCGAAGCGACACTCGACAACGCGAAGCGATACTCGACAACGCGAAGCGACACTCGACAATGCGAAGCGACATTTGGAATAATATCGTATCGCATTGTCGTGCGTCTACCGGTGCTTGGTCAGAATTTACTAACTCACCGACAAACGGTGCGATCATGGAAGGGGTCGCACTAAACTGCTGACGAATTAGCTGACGATATAGAATATATAGGAAACTGCTGACCAGTTAAACAAAGAAGGATTATCGAAAACTGCTGACCAGTTAGATAAAGAAGGGAAAACAATGAAGGTGTCAAATTGCCGTTGGTGATATTACAGGCGAGGTCGAGAAATACTTGATAAAATGTTTTTTTCAAGATGTCAATATTACAAATGATACATATTAATTATAAAAAATTCAATTGATATATACTGTATATTTCTCAATTTATTTTGATATAATATTTTATTTAAGTACCTTAATGAATTTTCTTCTATGTGTTATATATTGGTTAAAATTTTAAAAATGTAGTCAAAATATGATGTACGAAAAATCATAATTTGTTTCAAGTATGTATAAAACTATGCATCATAGGTTAAAATATATACATGTACATATACGTAATGTATATTTTAACAAAATATAATTATTATGTCGTATTTAGTGCAAATATGAAATAAAGTGATTTCTGTTTCCTTATTTGTTGTTCGTATAATTGTATAAGTAATATTGAACAAAAATTAATAATGTGCTAATTGTTATAGTTAATAAGCTTTTATTACATTATAAACAACATGTTTCCACAGATATCCATTAAACTGATAATTTATCGAGATCGATATGCCCCAAGGTCATATTAAAATCGATTTCACACGCGACGTGTCATTCTTGATTTATCTATGACAAAATACAATAAACAGTCAAAAATATGTTATTAAAATGCTGACCATATTGTAGAATCTGCTGAAAAGTTAGATATATAGAGAAAAATATATTTAAATGCTACGAAATTGTTACTCATTATGCAAATTTAATATATTTTATAAAATAATGTCGACATTTAATTAAGTAAAAACACTGCTGACCAATTTAATGTTAATTCAAATTGATTTAAGCCGTAAAACTCTCTTATTCTATATGGTCAGCAAATTTAACGCTCTTTACATTCAGGCGAGAAAATGCTGACCAGTTAAACATATAGTAGAATCTGCTGACCAGTTAGATATATAGGGAAACTGCTGACCAGTTAGATATATAGAGAAAAATATATTTTGCCGTGAAATTGTAATTCATTTTATAATGTATGCAAATTCAATATATTTTATAAAATTATGTCGACATTTAATTAAGTAAAAACACTGCTGACCAATTTAATATTATTTCAAATTGATTTAAGCCGTAAAAGTCTTCTTATTCTATATGGTCAGCAAATTTAACGCTCTTTACATTCAGGCGAGAAAATGCTGACCAGTTAAACATATAGTAGAATCTGCTGACCAGTTAGATATATAGGGAAACTGCTGACCAGTTAGAAATATAGAAAAATATATATTTTGCCGTGAAATTGTTACTCATTTTATAATGTATGCAAATTTTATATATTATATAAAATCATGTCGACATTTAATTAAGTAAAAACACTGCTGACCAATTTAATGTTAATTCAAATTGATTAAACCGTAAACTCTTCTTATTCTATATGGTCAGCAATTTAACGCTCTTTCACATTCAGGCGAGAAAATGCTGACCAGTTAAACATATAGTAGAATCTGCTGACCAGTTAGATATATAGGGAAACTGCTGACCAGTTAGAAATATAGAAAAATATATATTTTGCCGTGAAATTGTTACTCATTTTATAATGTATGCAAATTCAATATACTTTATAAAATTATGTCGACATTTAATTAAGTAAAAACACTGCTGACCAATTTAATATTATTTCAAATTGATTTAAGCCGTAAAAGTCTTCTTATTCTATATGGTCAGCAAATTTAACGCTCTTTACATTCAGGCGAGAAAATGCTGACCAGTTAAACATATAGTAGAATCTGCTGACCAGTTAGATATATAGGGAAACTGCTGACCAGTTAGATATATAGAGAAAAATATATGCACGTGATCTTAAAGTATGAAGACATGGGTTTTACAGTCAGTAATTTTTGTGGAATAAAATGCAAATTAAAAGTTGTATGGACTAAATTTTTGATGGATTAGTAAGATATTGTGTTTTTTCACATGCCGCCGAAAGGAAAGCAACAAAATAAAAAGGAAAATAGAAAAAATAAACGTAAAGAGATTTCGCCTTTGTTAGAACAGACATGTACACATAACACAGAGCGTGTACACAATGGACAAACCGGTTTTGCCAGTTTACCTACCAGTTTACCTGTGTTAACTAACAGAGATAGTGATGACGTAAACAATCAAAACAAACGAAAGAAACAACGTAGTGACATATTTGTATACGATACACCAACAGTAAGTAAAATAAATAGTGAAATGAGTACTAATGGAACTTTTCAACAATCATTTACTGGACAATTATTGCAGTCACCTCCGTATCAGTATAATCAACAATATCTTGGTCCACTACCGCCAGGTACACCAATGATGAATCAAGGTACAAACCAAACTCCACCATGGGCAATAGCTATGATGGAAACTATGAACTCCCGTCTTGATAAGATCGACTCCCGACTTGATAAAATTGACAATATTGAAAAAGTAGTAAACTCAATGTGCTTGAAACTCAATGATCTAGATATTAAGGTAAAAAGTATAGAGTCGCGAGTTTGCGATGTAGAAAACAACAGTACATTTATCAGTGAAAAGTATGATAAGCAAACAACAGAATTAGCGTCAACTAAAGATAGTGTAAAGACCATGCAAAAATCA